TGCTCGTGCAGAAAGATGTGTTCGACTATATTCAGACCTCTGATCGGTTTTTGGACTTACTTTGTGCGGCAAAGGCTGAAGTGGGGTGCTGGTATTGGTGGTGAGGGGTATGGTGGTGGTGGGTGGGGGTATGGGAGCATCGGGAGCGAGGATAGTGGGTATTTTGCCGATGTTTCGGAGGAGGAGGAGGGTGAGGATGGGGATGAGGAGGGTGGTGATTGGGGTGGGATTGATGCAGATAGGGCGAGGTTGGAGGTACGGATGGGAGGCCCCGAGACTTGTGTAGGAATTTTGGGGGATATGAGGGTCTAGAGTTCTCTGCCGACCGAGCTAAGATGGAGGGGTAGCAGGAGGGGTAGAGAGGGATAAACTGGCGTTCTGGCGTGTTGGCGTTCTTGTTTTGTTTCTTCCTGCATTGTTTTTCTGGGATACACTTGGGGATAAATTTCTTCCTTGCCATCATTTACACTGCCTGTAATCCATAATTGGATGCCTAACAAAGCACCGTATAATAATAATAATCTAATTTGAGACAATCTACACGACACTAGATTGTGCAGAGTGCAAACTGATACGGTGCAAGTGAAATTAGCTCCATGAGCGTGCACAGATTAGTATACTATCGATACGAGGGGAACGTTACATACACATGCCCCCAACTCGTTTACTCGGCATGAGGTTCATCCGCTGAGGATATTCTGCCGTCCGTGTTACGGTGGTGCTTCTAGGTGCTTCCAGCGATTGGACCTCTATGCAGCTGTCTACGCATCCGGTGGCCCACTCTCCTCATATGCATCTTAGAGCTTCAGCGGTGAGGAAAGGCTGAGGTGCGCTTCTCCTTCACCGCACATCCGAGGCGAGAGTGCACTTCTAGCCAGGCGAAGGTGAAAATACCAATAGCACATTAAAGATGTCGGAGCGGGCTAGCAGGGCAAGCGGTCAGTTGGGAGCGGGGAGGTTCAATTAAGGTTTGGTGAGAAGCCTGAGTGGGGGTGGGGGTGGGGGGGGGGGTGCACTCCTCGCTTGGTGATGACCCCGAGCGGGAGCTGAGGGATTGCGCCACGGCTCCCCCCCGCAGAATGAAACCCCAGAGGGGGTTTCTTTGTGCTGAGGCGGACGTCGAATATCCACTATAGTAGGTTACACCTTTATCCCCCTGATGTAATTTACTGGCACAATGGATCTACCAGCGCAGATTCCCCACTCTTCTGCGATTCTACTTGATCGGGTACAATCTGGGCGCCGTGAGAAACTATTGAAATCCGCTATTTCTGCTAGCTCTGTAATTTAATCTTAGGGCTTGGAGGTGGGGGTAAGAAGCTCCCGGGGAGGAGTGAAGTTTTCCTAGAGTGATATAGGATCGACCCGCCGGATGCATTGGATCTCGTTAGTCGAGTTTAGCCGACAATCCAATAACGAGTTTCAAGTGTCTTTTACTGTAATGGGGGGGGGATTCGAAATTTCGAATGCCTAGAGCGTTCTCTCCGGATAGTCTTTCCCTGGATGGGAATACTAGTGGTCTGGTCTATGGGTGGTCATATACTCGAGTACTTGATGCATAGTGCACAAACGCTAACAAAGCCGAGGCCTCAACGCTTACTTCCATGGCTTTCGCTCACCGTAATGCTCTTGCTCACCTGCTGGTTTTTTTTTTTGCTCGTTTAGGTTCCTTCCGTGTAACCCCCTCCCCCCTCCTAGGCTTCAAGTTTTTTTTGCCTACCTCTCTCTACCCCGCCTTTCTAAGAGACGGAGTATTTTTTGATTTCTTTTGACAGCAGAGAGGAGGAAATGGAGGCCCGTTCCTAGCAAGGCGAGCTCCAAGTAAGAGCCAGGCCCTAGGCACAGGTCAGCAATCTTAACTCCTGGTCTACTGTTGGTTCCTTCTATGCGCACCGCCGCACAGTCACATGATATCACTCGGTGGGTGTTCCTGTCCACCACTAAGCGGGATTAAATTTGAGTTGATATTTAAAAAAACCCTCAACGGACACTTCCCGTCATCGTCGCCCAGAAGGAGCACCCATTATGCCAAAGATCTCGCCACTATAAATTGCTCACGGTGCACACATCGTGATATTACCCCATATCTTTTTTACATCTTCAAGGGTAGCAGGCTCCGGCGTTCCCCTTTTTGGGCATCGTATCCTTTGCCAAGACGGTTCGCCACACCTCGGAGAAACACAGCTGCCTGAAAATCTCCAAGACATGCTCCCTGTCCCCCACCACCCGGTTGAATTTTTTTTTTCCCGGATTAGCCTAGATACCCCCGTAACCGGAGTGGTTTTTTCCCCCCCTACCCCTACTAGACCTCCACTTTTACTTGTAGATACGGTAGTCCCGCCTGTTTCTCTTCTCCCTCTCCCTCTCTCTTTTTTTGTTCTTTTTGTTTTTGACGATGTCTTGCGCCCTTCGCCCGGAAGCGGATATAGGCGGTGGACACTGTATCGGTCGGCACAGGTGTTCGTTCGCCGTCGTAGTTCCGCTGGCCCGAGAATCCGTGGTCGCCTGATTGTGGTTGCGCTGCCTGCCGAGTACGTGTGCGGTTTCTCCGAACGGGAGTTGCCGCCTTGGGTCCCCACCCGAGAGTGATGTGGTGTGGCGCTAAAGGTGCGATGACGAGCAGGGTGTTTGCTGGCCATTTGAATCCCGACGTACAGTATCGTGTCCTGTTCTGATATGCCCGGTATAGAATAGCAGCTGATTTGGCCGTTCTAAGGGGGTTGGTGGCGAGGCCCAGGGCTGATCACTGATCATCACTCGGGGGACGTTTTGGGTGTTTGGATGCGTGGAGGATTGGGTTTGTGCTCGCTAGTGAATTGGGTGTATTCTATAGATTTCAGGTTTCAAGATGGGATTTTGGGGAGGTTGCACTAGAGCTGTGAGTTTAGTGTTTTGTCATGAGCGGTTAACCTCAGATCTGATGATTGGGGGGTGGGGAAACTTGGAGATAGATTAAAGCTTCTGGGGAGCCACACTTGGAAGGCGTAGATATTTCTTCATTTATGAATTCTTTCTTCATATCGACTGACGGTGGTTTTTGCAATCCCTTTGACAGTCCTTGATTCAGATTTTCGAATATCGGCATTCGGCTACCATTCTGTTCGTTTCGAAGAGTAGCTTGGGTGAAGGGGGAAGAAGGACTTCAGATTGATAGATCGTTTCCTCCGGTGCGTGGTTTGTAACGTTGTATCGAGGGAATTCTTTGAGTAGTGTTCGGGTCTAGAATTTTCGCCTGGAATCTGGAATTTGCCTCCAGGCCCCAGGGATAGTCTTCGGTGATTGATTTTGAGTCGTGCCAGAAGCTAAGTTCGGTATGCTGGTAGGAGAGCGGGCGCCGTTCACGGCGAATACCCTGCAGCAGTGCCAGCATGGCTACTGGCGCTGGAAGGACGTTTCTTCGAATGGCATAGGCGTGCTTGGAAAGGGAGTGGATCCTTGAAAGGCTCAGTGAAAAAACTTGGTCGTAATCAAATTCCTATTCGAGGTAGGTGTATGGTTGTGTGGGGCCTTTCGTGACTGATCTTTTCTCCACAGGCTTTGCATGTTCGCTCTGTCGCTACCACAGTTTTTAGAGGCAAAGAGGAATGCGACGAGGCTGTTTTCAAGTTAGTTTTTGCTCTAGTAGGTGTAAGCTATTCCCTTCGCGTTGGGGGATCGGAAACGAAACTCCTGGTTCTATCTTCTGGCTGTGTTTCTCCCCCCCAAGCGACCGAATCATGTTCCACACATATTCGTGGCATGGAACTACTGGTGGGGGGGAATCTGACAAGCCAGTACATCCGGGAGTGTGCGAAAATGCCTACATATAGCAAATTCGCTGCCACCTGTAGGCGAAGAAGGCCACCGGGTTAAACCATGGTCTGGTTCTGATGAAGATGGTGGAGAAGCTATGCCTGGTGGCGGTTCCCAAGACTCGATATTTCTCGAGGTCGCACTCCTGCATAATCCTCACGAGGGAAATCCCACAATAAAGACTACCTTGTAGAAATGAGCTGCGCTTGCAGGCTCAACTTGAAGACAGCGGCGGGGATCGTTGGTGGGCATCGAATTGAAGATGACTACTTGTATGCTGGGGGTAGGGGAGTCCACGTTTAGCCAACAGATACCGGTGCTGGCATACTTGTGCTCTATCATTTGCCTGCTTAGCCTTGAACGGGGTGTGAGAAGTGTTAACGAGAGGCTTGAGATAGTGGAATGCAGGACATCACATTTATTTTCCGTGAGATAATATAGCTCTGAAGAGGAGCCCCTGCCTCGGGGATTGGCTCCTGGCAGATTTGGGTATCGTGAGACAATCGGCTTAGAACGCCTGAAAGGAAGAAGAAAAAAGAAAGAAGTCCGGCTTCCACGTAGGGGATGACTATCCCGACGGTAGCCTGCCGAAAAAGCCGAAGTTTGGCCCGAGCAACGCTACCGTCGGACGGCGCGAGGATGTATGGCGGTAGACTAGAGCTACAAGCTAAAGTTGACGCGTGGTAGCTTTCCCAATGCAAAACAATTGAACAAAATAGTGGTTAAAATGCTGGAAAAGCCTGGGAGAGTGAGGATACTGTTTCTCTGAATCTTATAACGATTGGGGGAAGGGGGGGGGGAGGGGGAAAGGAAGGCGTTTTGGCTTGCATTTCGTGGTTCTGGTAATGAAATACAATGCCAAGATATGTATTAAGTCCCAGGCTAATCCCTGTCTTCTCAGCTCCTGTTCTAACATGAAATATCACTCTCATTCTTGGCGCTTCGCTACTTTTAATGTTCCACTGCATGGACCGATTTTAATAGTTATCTAGGCACGTTGTTGCCTCCATTGGCGCCAGGTTGTCCTGCGGGATGCGGTACTCGTACTTTTAATGTCGGCAGCGCTCGGCTGCACTTTCGGTTCGAGAACCGTAAGACCGGTGCGCCTGCAGACCCGCTTTGGTGGAGATTCCGGGCGCCACACGGTGGCTCTATAGGGTAGAAAAACGATGATGTTTCATGAGTTTTGTGGGCCAATGTGGCTGGTTGGTATGTATTCGGCCATTCCCCCAGGGAATGACCTATGTATGTATTGCATTTTCTTTTGGTGATCGGGGGATATAGTACAGTAAAAAAGAAAAAAGGGGGGTAACAAGAAATCGTACTATCGGCCCCGAAGTATACACCCGTTCGGAGAGCCCGCAAGAGCTGTAAAAGTGGCTATTAACAATAAGAGAGTATTGGGGGACTTTTGTGTAATTGCTTTTCGGATATGCCTCCGGATACCGGAAACCCATGACAGGTTGTTTTACTGAATATCATGTCAGAGGAGCGTCCCGGAGGGCCGGAGGTACCCGAAAGGGTATACTAACGCTACCAACGCGGCTGTATTAACGAGAGGATCGGGCTGTGGAGGTATTGAGGACGGGTTGAACGCTGGGAGGGGGTGGTACTGTAGCCTCTGTGGGGTCTACGGGTTTTGTTGAAAGTAATACCTAATGGGTCGGTATACTAGCACTACCGGTACTTGGCGATAGTAGCGAGAGGCAACCGAGTGGGAGGCGTGCAATAATAGGCAGAGGGAGCGTCAAGTTCGGCCAAGGGCTCCCCTCCGACCCGCTGAGTCTCGCGGAGTGAATTCTTCACAAGCTGCGCTCCTTCAGGGTTTTCAGGCTGGGTTTCTTCGGGACACTCCTTGTTCCGCTTCTTACGGGACCAGCAAGCTTTGATTTCGATGATTTCCCGTGAGGAGCAGCGTACCGCTACTAGGTTTAAGAGAATAGCTAGGAGAAAGAATAGCCAATATATTGTATATTTGAATAGTCCAGAACTCCAGGTACCGCTAAAGGAGTCTACCTTAGAAGGAATGTATGAGCCTATGTGCCCTAGTCAAGAAAAAAGGGAGGATATAGAGTTCTTCTCGTACCATACACATCCCTCACCGTTGGGACTATATTCCCGCTTCCTGAGCCCTGATCGCGTGTCGGGACTGGACTGTCCCGCGGAGCGTCGTCTAACGCCGGGCGCAGTCCTTGAATTGGGTTTGCGCTATCTGGTAGGGAAGCTTCGTTCGGGGTCGGGGTGGCGCTTGCGCTAGCTGACTGTTTTTCGGGATTTCTAGTCGGTGAGGGTAACTGAACAGCTGAGCTGGCACCGTGAGGATATGCCGTTGCGAATCGCGCAATGGCAACTATTGCGATAATGAAGGCAAAGGGGCTCATGGTTGGTAGAACTGTAAAGCACGCTCTGGAGGCAGTTCCGTGCTGAATACTGTGGGCGGGGTGAAATTGACGGGCGGTAAAGCTAGCAATATATTCAGAGAAAAAACACAGCGGCCCCATTATTGAAGGCACGATCACACAATATGTCGTCAAGAAGTACGCCTTTGGGCGATATCAATGTGGAAATTGTCACAGTAACTCACGATGTACTAGAAAATTTTTTAAGTCATCGTAATGGGAATATAAGAGTTACTCGGCCTGAGCATAACCTATACAGTTACTCATAAGTGAGACCTCTCGCCCCTACTGCCTTTTTAGTACTTCCTATCCCCAGAGAAGCTATTTCACCACGGGTTAGTCCTTAAGGGGAATAATGGCTACCCCTAGATGTATAGCC